GGGGGGGGGAGTGTGGAGTGCAGAGTGCCTGGTAACAGCAGGCCCAGCACCTCTCTGCTATTCTGCAGGCATCTGTCTTTGTCCTAAGCCAGCCAGGGAGGGGCTGCAGGGACTAGCTTGGCTTTTGGTAGCTGGGGCTGCTTAGAGCAGGAGGTGGAACTGTGCTGTAGGCTCAGTGCTGCACTACTCTTGCTGTTTCTGTTCACTCTAGGTGCTTCATTTAAAATTAATTTTCTTAGCTTTGAAAACAGTGTAGAGAGCTTTAATCTAAACTTATTAGTTGAAATTTTCATGTAGCTGCCATTAATAGAATACCAGCCTATTAAAAATATGCTGTCTTTTTCTGAGACAGGATCTTGCTTTGTAGTTCATCTAGTCCTTGAGTACTTTGTAGCCCAGGCTGACCTACACTCACAGCAGTCCTCCTTTCTTAGCCTCCTGAGTGCTGGAATTGCATGTATGCATGTACCACTATACTTGGCTAAAAATAGACCTTAAAATTTTTCAATTTAATTTTTTTTATGTATGGTACTGGGGATTAAACTTGGGACCATGTGCTTGCCAGTTAGATGTTTGTTTTTTTTTTTGGCAGAACCAGGGATTGAACTCAGGCCCTTGTGCTTGCCAGGCAAGCGCTTATTCTATTGCCCAGTTAGGTATTTATGCCGCTGAGTTATATCCCCAGCCCCAGCTGTTTTTTTTTTTGTTTTTTTTTTTAAATGTATTTTGTACAGGGTCTCACTATATAGCTCAGACTCCTAGTGATCCTATTTTTTGCCTCCCCAGCACTGGGATTACAGGCGTGTGCCACCACACCTGGACTTAGTTGCCTGCTCAGCGCACCTGGGGGCAGGGCCAGCATGGCATGTGCCAGGGATTGAACCCTGAATCCTATGCTTCCCTGAGCAGATGTGCAGTCTACTGAGTTATCTCACTGACCCAGCCCCAGCCTTTTTAAATTATAGAACTTGTATCATGTTTGCTGTGGATTATACTGACTTGTCTATCTTTCTTCCTGTAATGTCATCATGTGCACACATTGGTGAGTTAAGCAAATTAGAAGGCTTTTTTGGGGGGGTGGAGGGGGCTGGCTCAGTATGCCTTCAGGGCAGGTCTAGTAAGGCTTGAGGATCTGGGGATCAAACCACAGCAACCTGGGCCTGACTGCTTTGTCTAAACAGTCACTTAAACAGTTGAACTAATGGGCAGGCTCCCAAGTTAAGCAAATTAGAGGTAAATTCAGGAGATCTCACTGTCCCCTTGTGACTGTGCTCTCACATGTTAGTGGGAAGCACATCTTTCCACAGTCATTAATTGATCTTGCTCTTTATATTATTTTGAATATTTCATGGACTTTCCTCCCAGGTAATCCTAATAATATGATACATTAGCTATACAACATTGCCATTTTATGGATGTTCATATTTCATTCAAGCATGCACCTGTTGCTGGACATTCAGTGTATATCTTTGTGCTTGTGCACATGCATATGTGCTATTACATGTGATGTTGTCATAGATGTTCTCCGAATACCTCATTGCCTGATGTGTTTATTCCTGTGCTCCCTCCATCTGGCACTGCGGCCTGTGTGGGTCCTCAAGGTGGCCTTTGTTTGTAGGTCAATGTGCGGAATGGGATGAGCTTGCATGACTGCCTTATGAAAGCACTGAAGGTGAGGGGCCTACAACCAGAGTGCTGTGCAGTGTTCAGACTTCTCCATGAGCACAAAGGGTAAGTGCTCATTATTCAGGATGAGTATTTCATTCAAATAATTTTGTTAGCCTCCTACAGAATAGTGATGGCAAACCTTTTAGAGACCAAGTGCCAAAACTGCAATCCCAAACCCACTTTTTTTTTTTTTTTTTTTTTGACTGGCTCAGGAAAAAGAGTGGGTAGGGTGCAATATGGAGCTGGGGATAGAACCTCGGTCCCCTGCACCTGACTGAGTTTGCCTAAGCAGGCGCTTTAAACAACTGAGCTAACCCGCAAACCCCCTCCACTTCTTTATCACAAAGTTCAACATTCTGTTTAAACCTGAATACTGTGATTTTAGGAAATCACAACTCTAAATCAGGAAAAAACAACTCTAAATCAATACCTTTTGTCTTAAAGTTACAATAACATGTGTGCCATAGATTCGCCACCCCTGCCATAGAATATCATCTGTATACCTTTGTTTGTAAAGAGACAATTTATAAAAATATGGTATTAAGAGCTTACAGTTACCCTATTCCTTGGGAATTCCCTTGAAAGATAAAATGCATGGTGGGTATTGATATTTTCGTGGATGGAAGCAGGTGTGTTAGAATGTAGGTTTCTCCATGAAAAAGCTTATTTTTTGCATTTGTCGTAAGGCATTACATGGAGTGGGTGATTGGTTTTTGTAGGTAAAGAATGTTACCCTCAGGTGATCAGCTCCTGCCATTTACTCTTGCTGCTGGAAAGGTGGGGCTGCTGGAGATTGAACCCATGGCTTCATTCATGCCAAGCACATGCTTTACCCTCGAGTGCCATATTTTTATTGCTTTCCATGTGTATTAAATCCTTCCTGTTTGACAGCTAAAGGACTAAAATATAGATGTAGGAGATTTGCTGCTTTGGGAAAGACTTGGCTAATTTCTGATGGCAATTGCAGGACAGCAGCTCAAGGTTAGGAGTAAACCTCCATAGCTGCAGAGCTGTGCATAATTGCTAGTATGCTTCTCTGAATATGGGGAGACTGCCAGGTATGGTGGTACATGCCTGTAATCCCAGCACTCAGAAGGCTGAGGCAGAAGGATTGCTGAGAGTTTGAGGCCAACCTGGGCTACAAAGTGAATTCAGGGCCAGCCTGAACTGCATAATGAGACCCTGTCTCCAAAAGAAAATGAGAAGACCTTTACAGAAGGTTCTACTTTGCCTTCTTGTGGAGAGCAACACCACTCTTACTCCTCTTAAGCTTCTGCTTTAATGGTTTAGGGAGGTCCCAGTCTAAAGAAACCCATGCCTGAGGCATGAGTCTGCTCAGAGGGTGAGTTTAACCATGTCCATGCCTCCCAAGCCAGTTTACAGTGCTCATGAAGAACCAGAGACTTTGAGAGCTTGTTTGCTCTTTTCCAAATCTACATTTTTTTTGGAAACACCTTGAGTTCTGTCTAGGACAGATAATTCTCAGAGCTTGAATTAGAAAGTGCGATCTCCTCTCCTCTTTATTAGTACAGGATAGGACTTGAGAGTGGCATGAAGCATCCCAGACTTTGTGCAGGGAATTACATTAAGGGGTAGGGTACTTACGGGGTGGGGTGCAAGGTGTAATAGGAAAAACAGCTGGGCTAGGTTGTCTGGTAGGTAATAGAGGTTTGAAAGTGCTAGATCTAAACTATTCTCCTGAGCATGTCCAGCCTTTAGGACATGGGCAGACGGGAGAAAAGACAGAAGGGGACTGTGCATTAATTTACATTTAAAAGGATACATTTTTCTGTCTTATTTACTCTTTAAGTTCAGCAAGAGTGGTCTCAGTAAAAAAAAAAAAAAATTGTTTCAGTAAATTTTAGGACAGTTAAGTCTCCCTTTGACTTATATTTGTTTTTATATAGACCCTGCAAATAATTACAGATCTGGGTTTGCTATTAATGGTGAAGTACAGTTGTTTGTGGTTGTTAATCTGTTTTGGGCAGTAGAGTAATATTTATAATCCCTCTCACAGGATTTGAGGATCTTTTTGTAGGATTTTAATCTCACAAAGGCTTCTTTAATGTGTGTGTACCTTACCACGAGATTGTTACATTTATTTATTTATTTATTTATTTATTTATTTATTGAGATAGTTATTTTTTATGTTGAAAGAAAACTTCATTCAGAGAACACAAGCTTTGGAATCTAACACATGGATATCTTTTTTTTTTAAAGTCTTTTTGAGACAGGGTCTCACTGTGTAATTCAGGCTGGCCTTAAGTTTACTTTGTAGCCCTGGCTGATCTTGAACTCACGATCCTTTTGCCTTATTAGCCGTCAAGAGTGCTAGGATTGGGGCTGGTGAGATGGCTCAGTGGTCTAAAGCACCTGCTTAGAACAAGCTAAGCTAAACAAAAGCACAGGGACCGCGGTTCAATCCCCAGCACCACATGCCAGCCAGCCCCGCCCCC